GAGGGATGCTTTGAACTGCTAACTGAAAGATCGGTATTTCAAAACCATGAGTTACTCCTCTTTATGTGTTCCATTTCATTTTTGATGACTTCCAATTTTCCTGGATTCATCCTTTGCATATTCAACATTCCAATGACTTGTGCACATTAGCAACTGTTTCTTCTCATTTTGTGTTGTGCTCCATCAGACGTCTCGCTCCATGCTCCATCAGTGTCATTCAGGACAACTCTGCTTGGAGGCAGCAGCTCTTCCCCAGGCATTCTGAGTGCGTTCCCACCTGAAGGAGCATCTTCCAGCACCATAGCCGACAATATTCTGGCTGCTAGTCGTATGGTTTTTAGTGGCAATTCTCTCAGAAGGGGACTGCTTTTTCCTTCTTCCTAGTCTGTCGTTTTAGTCTGGAAGCCCTCCTGAAACCTGCCCACCATGGGTGACCCAGCTGGTACATGGAACACCAGTGACATAGCTTCTAGCACCGCAATAAGATGCAAGCCACCAGAGAATGACAAACGACAGGCAAGTGGTGGAACCATAATTGACTCTAGTAAAGATTATTTGGTATGGCTTTAATTTCTGTCTATCCATGAAGAATAAACGGTGATTCCATCAATTCTATTCATTGGAGTTATTAGGAAAGGCTGTTTTGTGGCACTGAAAACGTTATCAAGAATGGGATGAACAAGGTATATCTTGGGATGTTAGAATTTCAAGGACCATTTGCCATCTTCTAAACCAAACAGCTCCTGCTTGAAAAAAAGTTGAAATTTAGTCATCTAATGACATTCAACCAATTATTTCCCTAACTTTTGGGGGTGAAATTGTGCCTCTTAAACTGGGAGTTTTGGAGTTACATTTTGTAGGTGGCTGTGGTCATTAGTTGCTGTCAAATAGATTTTAATTCATAGTGACCCCATGTCACAGAGGAGCACTGCTCCATACAGTTTTTGAGCTTATACTCTTTATAGATCTCCAAGTCTGTCTTTCAGCAGAGTGGGTGGGTTTTAACTGCCAACTATGCTGCCCGCAGCCAAGCATTTAGCCACTCAAAACCCTCTCCCTGCTACCAAAGTGATCCTAACTCATCAGAGCCCTGGTGGCATAGTGAGTTACAAGTTGGGCTGTTAATCCTAAGGTTAAAAGTTTGACTCCACCATGGGACAAAGCTGAGGCTTTTTGCTCCTGTAAAGATTTACAGCCTTGGAAATCCAAAGAGGCAGTTTTCCTATGTCCTATAGGGACTTTATGAATTGTCCCACTAGGACTTAGAAAAAGAGTTGGTTTAAATGTGAAATTATGGCTATACTCACCGACGAATTCAACCTTTGAGAGTCAGTGAGGGGAAATTGCAGTTAGTTACATAACAGCTCATAGAATGAAGTGGTATGTTTGGTAAAGCAGAATGCCAGCGGGAAAAGACAAGACTCCTAAGGAGCTGGATCGACACATTGACTGCCATTGAAGCCTGAGGCCTAACGACGATGGTGAGCATGGCACCAGGCCAGGCAGTGTTTGGGTCTGTCGTTCATAGGGCATGATGAGTCGGAATTGGCTCCTAACAATGTGTCTAACTACCACAACCAAATGAATGAAGAGGTGACTGGTGCTCACCAGGCAAAGCTTAGTAAACAGCCAGACACTGATACGTCTTAGGTACCCAAAATATATTGAATACCGTGTTGAAACACCACACATGGAGGAACAGGCATTTCCTCCATTAACAGTGGAAATGAAGGTTCATAGAGGTGAAACAGGCTTCTAGGATCATCTTGGACTTGAAATTGTGCTCTCTTTCTCTGCACCTCCTCCCTGAGAAACAAAGTCAGATGACTGCCATCCTTTGCCTTCAAGAACTTTACCCCTGACTTTCAATTGTGTTACTCTTTTCTCTATTGTCCTGGGGGCGGGGTGGGGGGGTGCATGGGGAAGACTGACAGCCAAGTATTAGGTGTGCATTACATTCAGCCATTCTCAAGCAACATTTCACCGGGGCCACAAATTCTAAATACAAGGGAAGAAAACGCAAATCACTTTTTGAATACTAAAGAAACCCACCTTTACTAAATATTCTTCATGCCTGAACCATTACCCTAGTGCAGTTAAATGCTACTGAATCATAATTGCCTCCTGCCAATTCATATTTGTAGACATTCAGAGCTGGAAGGTTAAAGGTCCCACAGATTCATATTCATGGATGTTCAGAGCTAGAAGGTTACAGGTCTGCAGAAGGGCTAAATTCCTTTAATGTACTTTAGAGCCAAAGTGGTGTTGTCATCGGATGCCATAGAGTTGGTTTCTATTCCCGTAACTCTCAAGGTTTCTACTCTAGTGGCAGAGTTGAACCGCCCCATAGCGTGCCCTAGGCAGTCTTTCTGTGCAGGAGCAGATCCACTGGCCTTGCTCTTGCATAGCTTCAGGGTGAGTTTGAATGGCCAGCACTTGGGTTAGAAGCTGAACATTTAACTGCTGTCTCATCAGGGAAACAGATGTTAGGTACTGTATTTTAAAGTTCTCATTTAGCATAAACGTCTACCATAAAAACACAAACCAGGAAGCTTGAGTCTGATTAAGTGGGATGAAATGGAGCTCTGAAATTTAAGCCAGTCTCTTCAGGGTTGAGCCACTTTCGGCAGAGAAGGTTCAAACAAAGGCTGAAGCCCTGAAGGTGTGTTGGAGGGAAATGACTAAATGGGTCTCCCCGCAGTGGTGTGAAGTCCTCAGCCAAGGTAATGCTTCCCAGAGGTGTAAAAGCTCTCTCTCTTTCAGGTTTTGGGCATGGGGTGGGCTGGGGGGAGGGGCGGGATAGAGAGCGTAAATGCATACATGTGAGTTCTTTCCAAGTTGGTCTCTGGGGACTGGGTTGCCCAGACTACCTGGTATTGCAATATATTTCTTGACCCCTAACCACATCCCTGTCCACCCTCCCGCCCCAAACACCACGCCCTGCACAATGCGTCCTGCTTCTCTTGCTCCCAGTTTCCTCAATTTTTCTGTTTGGACTTGTTCATTATTATTGCCCAATATAGGTTATATAGTTTTCAAGGCCTGGTGAGTCCAAACGCAGTCATCACCTCGGGGGACCCGTGCAAGGGAAAGAAAAGAGAAAAGAAATCCGTTTGACCCACTAATAATTTCAGTTGGCAACACCAAAAACCCAGTCAGTTTAACTTGTAAACTCTCATTTTTTTCTACACAGTGCCACCTACTGTCCAGTTTAAGTCATCAGGAGGTTTGGTGGCAAGAACCAAAGAAAAAGAAAGAAAGAAACAGAGAACAACACAAGTCTAACTCTACTCGGCTTTGGGTAATTAGAAGAAAGATGACAAAAGGCCGCGGAAGCAAAGCTAAGTATTTTGAGTCGTTATCCTCGCCACCTTCGTAGAAGACTTGCAAGAGACAAACCCCACGTCAGCCATTTCCTTAGGGACTGTATTCATTTTCTTTCTTTTTAAAATACGTTCTGTTACACGTCCTCCTGAAGTGGATTCTATTTACAATGCTCAGTGTTTGCATTTTTTTTTTCAACTTTAGAAGGCCCGTTTGGGCAACGAATGTAATTCCTCTCCCACTTTTGGAGCCCACCCCAAGTAGACATGTCCAATATAACGGGCGTTTTGATACTTCCGTGCAGAAGTGGATTGGAAGGGAAGAAAGGGTTAACAGGTGGTAGACCCGTCACAACTTTGTAGAGTCTGCTAATCTGAAGCTCTTTGAGTGTAGGACTACCCAGACGACCAGGGAAAGCTCTGGCTTCCTTGTGCTTATCTACTGTTGTCTAGTGGACAATTTCACATTTATTCACCACGCTAAGGTTCTGCGTCTAGGTAAGGAGAGCATCTGTCCCTCCCTCGGCCCCACAATACCTCCCCGCCGAGTCCAACCCTCTTCAAATGGAGACTCCCAGCGCCGAAGGTACACAGGGGCTGGCTTGTGCCTGCTTATGAATCTGTAGAGAATTGTTTCACATGGGATGTGAAAAAACGGGAAGCGTGTCCATTGCAGAGAAGTAAATGCGCACAAGCAAACCCGTGCTTACCTTGTTTATCCGGCAACCCGCCAGTTTCTGGGACACACACGCCTCCCCACTCTCCCTTCCCCCGGCCATCACTTGGCCCGGGCAGCACCTTTTGGCTTTCAAGCCATTTCTTAAGCACGAGTTTATCGTGGTGACCGAATCCCTGTCACTCGGGCAGGAGTTTGGAGATTTCTACAAAGCGTGGTCTCCTGCTCGGCCGCGAAGAGAACCCACTGGTGGCCAGCATCAGGGCAAGGCCTCTTTCTGCACACGTTAGCAATCGAGTTAATTGAATCCATTGGAGTTTAGAACCGGCCTCTAGCTCAGCGAGGACTTTGAATGGCCAATGTCTCTTTCCCTCTCTCCCCTCCCGCCTCCCTCTCGCCCCACTCCCAGTGCCCTCCCCTCCCGGCTCCCGGGCCTGCACCTCCCTCCTCCACTCCCCTCACCCCCACTCCTTACTCCGCCCTATTAAAACACCCACCAGCCCCTTAAGTTGGAGGAGGCAGAAAGGCAACCACAGCGCGGAAGGAGAAGTTAAAAGTCTGGAAAGAATTAACCAGTCCTGGCTGAGAGCAGTCCATTGAACCAGGGACTTGAACCAGCCCCAGCCAAAGACTCTCGCGATGCAGCTTGGGTTCTACTGAATCTGCCTTCACCAAGTTTTTTGTGATATCAAGGGAAAAGAAAAACAACCAACTAAAAAACTTTCCGATATCAAGGGAGAGGGACTGGAGAAAAGGGGGGCGAAACTAGAAAGAGGAAAAAAGGAGAAAAGAAAAAAAAGGGAGGACAGACTTTAGTGTAACGGAAATCGTAAAGAAAATCCCAGTGAAATTTCCCTGAAAAGTGGGGAGAAGCTAACACTAAACGCTCCTCCATCCTTCTTTTTCTTTTCTTAAATGTTGTTTTTAAATTTTTTATTCTTTTTGGCGGGTCGTCTCAAATTCATCTGATCTCTATTACCTCAATTTTGGAAACTGCTCGCCACCGACCCTCCGGGACCACACAGATAGATTGAAGACGCCTTTATGACCGAAAGCTGAACAAGGTACGTGACCCTGGCGCGCTTTGGTGAAGGATACGGGGACTCAAAGAGCTTGGGAGTGGGAAGAAATCATCTATATACGTGGTTAAAAAAAAGTCCATTTTTTAAATATAAAGTTATATGTCTGCAGATTTCTCATAGACTGAAAACCAGGGGCTAGTTCCAACTCACTGTCAGACGTATTAGCACACCCCCACTCGGGCCCCGCTCCCCAGAACCCCACCGCCTCGGTGCACACAGGTAACCTCCCAGGCCGGCGGCGGCGGCACATCCCGGGATGTACTTTTCCATTCCACCAGGGCTCCGGAGTTAGCAAACAAAAATGCCCACTGCGTAAGGGAAATGCATTCCGCACAGCCTCCCCTGCCCTTGTTTCCCCCACGCTACGTTGGGGACCACTCTGGCACAGCCCAGCGCGGGGCAGCTTTAAGTGGGAAATCCGCCTCTTACTTGGGATGCAAAGGGTTAAGCGATTCCGCTTCCCAGCTCAGGTTCTGGGACCCCAGAAGAGGAGGGCGCTTGCCACCTCCCCGCAGCTACCGGCCGCGCTCGGCCACTCCCCCCTCTTTTCCGGACTTCCCCTCCTTGGCACCCCCGCTCCCATTAAAATGTCAGGCTGGGTCTCGGCTTCAGCGGCTCTGGAAGCCTGGCTCGGGCAGGGGTCCCTGACGCTGGCGGTGGCACCAGCAGTCGGAGCCGGACGGAGGCGCGCGCATCCCCGTTCGGGACGCGCGGGGAAAGCGAGCTTGGGTACCGCGCGCCCAGCGCGCCCGCAGCTGCTCCGCCCGGAGAGCCCATTCCGACGTGGCACCGAGCACGCCGGCGGCGCGACTGCCCGGAGCTGCAGCGCGGGGCACCGCAGCGAGGGGGCTCGAGGGTACATCCCAGCGCCCCGCTCCCGGGATGGGAGCAGGATGCGGGCGCAGGGCGCGGCGGCGGGAACTGAGCGGCGGTGGGCGAAGAGCCAAAGGCTGGGTCGGGACGGAGAATCAACACCTGGGGCGGGATTGGTCCCGCGGGGTCCCGCCCAGCAGGAACTAGGGCTCCGGAACGGGTCCCGGGGAACTGAAGGGCGGGTCTGAAAGGAGGGTCTGTGTGAAGGCGCGAAGCGGGAGGCGAGAGCGGCTTTTTCCCTTGGCCACGGACAGGGCGCTGAAAGGATAATTGAGGCTGGGAAGCGGGGCCGAGACCCGAGAGGCGGCGCCGAGGGGTGAGGGCTTACGAGACGCGGGTCCTATTACACGGCCAAGGTGCCAGCTTCCCCGCAGCCCCCAGACCTCCGGCTGCCCGATTTGGACGCTGGGACGCCGCGCGCCCTTGGGGCAGGCCAGCTGCGACGCGCCCCGCCCTGCCCGGCTCCCCACCCTTGGCGCGGATGCTGCCGGAAGCGTCTCCGGCGCAGTTAGTTGCCCCGAAACACTGCACTGTTATAACCCACGTGGCTGGGCCGGGATTGCCTCTGACGTCACACCCAGGGCGGGAGGTGTGACGCAACAGCTCAGGAAGCACTGATTGGCCACAAAGGGCTTCCCCCGGAGTTGGCGGCTAGAGTTCCTATAGCATTCGGCTCCGTGTTAGAGAAGTTGTGTGTAGTAGGAGGCGGAGGCGGCTAGCTGAACGGCTTCCCTGGCTGACCACGGTCAATTTCAAGACTTGTTCTCAGAATTCTCAGTGCAATGAAGACATCTGATCATGGACCTCTGAAGGGGTTACTCATGATCAGAGCCCTGGTGGTACAGTGGTTAAGCACTTGACTGATTATCAAAAGGCAAAAAAAGGTTTACAGTTGAGGGGACAAGACGGGCAGTGCGAGAGGCAGAGTTACTCTTTCTATGGGGTCACCATGCGTTGGAATGTACTAGACTGCACGAGGCAAACCCGATTGTGATTTTTAAGAAAAGTGTGTTGACAGTTAATCTGTGTTCAAAGGTGCGGATGATGGCAGATTGAAACACTATTTTTACATCGGAGAGGTGGAACAAATATGCATTGAGTTGGCTAGCTACAAGGTCCGCGGTTTGAACCCATCAGCCACTACAAGGGAGAAAGATGAAGCTACCTGCTTCTTTTCTTTCAAAGTCTGGAAAACCCTCAGGGGCAACGTCCCCTAGAACCACTATGAGTGAGATGCTAATGAGTTGTTGTTGTTTTATCAAACAATTATACATACCTATTAATTTCAAATTTTACAGGATTGAATGGGAAAAATCCTTAAATTCTAAACATTGTGTCATTCCGAAGTGCAGCAGTTGACACATTCATTTTTATCACTTTTCACTACACTTTTCGAAAGTGAAAAGTGATATGCATAAAGGAGTAAAAAAACCAAAAACACAAACTCACTGGCATCCCGTGTAAGTGTGTTCTAATCCATGTCTAGCCTGTACCACAGGGTGGAACTGCCTGAGGGGTTCTCAAATCTGTTAACTGTTAAGGCAGTACAAAGCCCATTTTTCCAAATACTCATCAGACTCTTCCAAGTTTTATTTTCCCATGATTTTCTGCTGAATGTTTTCAGTGATACTTTAACACTAAGAATTATGAGGACCTTATTGCAAAACAAACAAACAAAATACTTGCTTTCAGAACTACTCTCTCCTCAGGGTTTTCCAGGGGGGGGTAACCAGCAGTGGATCCGATGCGCCGGCCTTGCCTTTCCGTTAGCCAGCTCACTGTGCTACTTGTCTGTTTCCAATCAGGGCACCAAAACATCACTAATTGACTGTCTAGGTGAACAGATGAACATTAAAACAGTGTAACTATACGACCACTTCTTTTTCTTAATGATCTAACACTAGAGTTGAGAATATATAGCCATTGTGGCCTAGTGGGTTGCTCTTTGAGCTGCTAATGACAAGGTAAGCAGTTTGAACCCACCAGCCACACCTTGGGAGAAAGATGAGGCTTTCTGCTTCTGTAAACACTTAAAACTTTGGCTACATACAGAGTTGGGTCTACCCTGCCCTACAGGGTTGTTAGGAGTCAGCCAATTGGATGGCAGTTGATGGGTAGTAGTGGAGGACAAGATATAGAAAAATGTAGTTGGAGTTAGAAGTGAATTCTTACCTCACCAAGGTAAGTAACTTAAAAAAAAAATTCAAGAGCTTAAGGAGTCGGTGAATAGCATCAAATTTATATGTCTTTCTCCATAAAACAAAAAAAATATTCAGTCAGCTACCTTCCAGGAAAAATGGGTTATGCAGCAAATGAATAAGAAATCATTACTAGAAAGGAAGTTAACTTGGAACATATTTTTTCTCCTGTAGTTCTATGGAACACCACCTCATAGTATTGAATCCTGTGAATATTTTCTCACATAAGATTTCCTTATCACCTAAATTAAAAGAAGAGAAAAAAAATTTGCTATTATTTATTTGTTATCTATTATTGCCATTTATTATCTATTATGTGTGTGTGATTATATTTTGTAGTCCAATGTTTAATCCAAGAACAAGTACTTTTGTTCCCTCACTAGTCCATCACTAGTGGGATGATGAGTCAATGGTAAAGAGATCAGAGCATCACACACACACACACACACACACACACACACACACACACCACCCAGTCTCTTTTCGGATTTTCCTTTTATCTATCACTGTATACCCAGGCTAGGTGGCAGCTGGTGTGACAGCTGAGTTGAGGGACAGTTCCCTGTGAAAACCATTCTATGTCTTCAATGTGGCTTTAATCTCTCTTTTGCAGCAAGTTACATAAAATCTGCATCAACCTACAGCATATAACCTTAAAATATTCAAATATTGAATGGCATCCACCTGGGCATATATATATATATATAATTTTATAAATGTGTATATATGTATGTATCCACACACATAGCTTGTGGAATAATTCCATTGTCTTCTAATTCTATTTGTCCACCAACTATTTTAAGCCCCCTCAGAGAGTTGTTAGTTGCTCTTTAGTAGATTCTGACCTAAGCCTACCTCTTCTGTGCAGAGCAGAACTAACTGCTCCTCGGGGTTCTTTGGGCAGTGACCTTTCTGCAGGATTTCTAATGGTCAACCTTTTGGCTAATAGCGGAAAGCTTAACCATTTGCATCACCCAGGTACCATGTACACACACACACACACACACACACACACACACAATTGCAGATCTCTGGTGGAATTTTGGCTCGCATTGAGCTGCTAGCCCCAGGTCCAAAGTTATAAATGGCCAGCCAATTGATTTATCCCCCCATAGAGTTACAGTCTTGGAAACTTACCCAGAGGGGGGAGGAGGTGAGGGTGGGGACAGATTCTACACTATTGGCATCGAATCCATGGCAGTGAGTTTGGATTGGGTTTTTGGTATGTACAGGCTAGAAAAACATTCATACAGTAATCAGTTAGATGATCAGCATCACAGTTAAATATTTTATTACATTAAGCTTAAAGGACTGCGCCTTAAGTGCATATACTGTAAACAAGACATAGTTGACACTTTGATGGAAGCTATCATACAAGAAGTGTTCTCAGAGTACTCTTTCAATAATCATATTGTAAGTCAAAATTTGATTGGGTCCAGAGGTAAAATAATTAGCCATTGCTTATTAGATGCTAAAGTGTGATGCACATTCTATGTATGCTTTATTTATTCCTAACCCATTAAATTTATATAAATAAACTTTGCCTCAACATGTTCAATAGGAACTCTGTTAGTAACGGGTAAGAATAGAATTTAATCTCGGACTTGCTGCACATGCCCCTGAACTAAGCTATATTTGGATTAGCTAACTTTAATAGTAATTCAATTTAAGAAATCATATCTAACTGAGCCTGATTTGGAAAGATTTCAGGAAGCCTCAATACATATGACTACATACAGTTTGACCTATAGAACTAAATTTAGGATGTTGAATTTCAGGAACCAAAAGGGCAGTTGAGAGAACTGACATCTTAGGAATGTAATTGATTAATACAGATCCCAAGAAAGAGAAACCAGAAACCAGGAACACTGGATTCAGACCCAGCTGAGCACCTATTTTAAATAGTGTGGC